TATTTTCATCAAAAAACGTATATTTCATTGTCCACGCGAAACCCACCAATTTGCCGAAAATAGATACACCTCGATAAATAATTTTACGAGAAATCATGTGTAATTACAGGGTCAGCGAGAAACAACGAGAAAGTAGTGAATTAATGGCGTTTGAAAAAAAAATTGGTTTCTTAGATGAAAAAAAAAGAATAAAAAAATAAAACCTCAAGCCCGGATATGGAAAACAGTCCCGGCAATTATAATAATCAGGTGTATCCTATCTACGGCGCAAAGGTACACGTACAGGTACACATAAGGCGGGGGAGTCACGAAAAAACATAAACCCACTGACCGGACATCCGCGCTCGACACAATAATGTAGTAATATAATTTCTCGCAGATAATCTACCGCTTCGCTATAAATATATTACATATTATACACCCACCCACCCAAAGTTCGAACCCTTTTTCCTCGACACGCGAGTACTGTAAGCACATAAATATACACACATAGTTATACTCTTACTTCCGAAAAAAAGGAAGAAAGCAAAGCTGCACACACACACACCATATCGCACAAAAAACACAATAAGTAGTTCGCCACTCGGAGAAAGAGAGAGAGAGTTTTGAAAAAAGCGTCTTCGAATCGCTGCACGTATTCCACTTTCGACATTCCTCCGTTGCCCCGAAACACCTACTTTTCAATTGCGACGTAACTGTGAATTCCTAATGAGCATTGTTTAACGAAAAATACGGGGGTGCGCGCGCGTGGAACTCTCCAAAGGTGGGGAGGGGGGTCCTGTATTATTCGCGTGCGCGTGTGCGTGACCGTCCGTTCTCTCCCCGCGCGCGAAACTGCACAACCGCGCGAATATATTATTACACGCGAACAATGCAATATTTTAGAATTCTTTTTGCACTCCACTCCCGTGTACAAGCTATACATGTACCTACTCCGTTGGGCTTATTAATCAAGATTTTGCGTTCGGTCTCATTTTTCCCTAACGTATATTGTGCGCGAGCGATGCGTTTTTTAGTTGGGAAACCCGCCCGGTGCCGTTGGTGTACACATTGTATGTTGTATACAGGGTGTATCGGCATGTGTTTCGTTAAAAGCACATTAGTATGCACATGGGTATGTTTACCGGCATTTTTCAACGTTACATTGTTCCGCGAACGACACTGCGTTTGAAAGGTTTTACGTGACGAAGGGAGTGTGGGTGTACCGTGGGTCAGGTGTCTGACGCGAGCTTTGAGTGAAATAAAATATTTCAGGGAGTCGATGAATGGAGGTGGAGGGGAATAATACTTATCTTTGGGAAATGTCGGGGAAAAAAATGGGGAGAGGTGAACACGAGCGCGCGAGCGGGCGTTCGATGAATTTTAAAAACACGTGCAAGGACTGGTTGCTTTTGTTCGATTCCTCGTGTGGAATTGTTAGGGACTTTCGTGGTGTGTGCGTTTTACTGTATAGATCCGGGATTATGTTCGGGTGTGAGAGCGTTTGGAGGCAAAGATAGCGCGTATACGCGATAATGGATCCATACAAATACGTGGGACTGCGATACGATGTGCGTTGTTTCGGTCTGGGAACTATACGTCGGATTTCAAAATGTGGTTCGTTAACGATTATCAACAATTGCAGATGAACAAAAAATTTTTCTAGATTGTATTTCGCTTACTTTGAGCGAGAAAAAATTTTCCTTTTAAAAGTTACAAGAGATTTTTTTCTTGTTCAAAGTGCACCCAATCATTCAGAATTTTTTTTTTTTTCAATCTACTGTGTCTATTTAAACGTTTAAATTGTCCACAGCACGTGTACGAAGAGAAAGGGGTTTGCCATTAAAACTCAAATTGAAAAAAAAACAATTGTGTCCTTCCAATGTTGTTTTAAAATTCTATTGAAAATAAATGGAATTGGTCTATTTTCTATGATTATTTATAAAATCAAGTAGTCAATTTAATCACCTTTGAATCAGTCGAAAATAAATTTATCAAATTGTGTAAGACAAAAATCTTTTTGTTTTGTTGGCTGTCATTACGTCTTGTAACGAAGTCTTTTCCAGCGAAACATTTTCACTTTTTGTTCGGTCACCGAGGCCACGCTCTAAATTAAATCGTGAGGCGTAAAAAAGTGAAAAAATCACGGCAGCTTATTTTGTACTTTTCATTTCGTCATTGCAAGTCATTTCGTAGAAGTTGCACGCTGACCATTTTTAAAATTACAAATACCAAAATTGTTCGTTTTTAGTTTTAATGGGATGGCATTGCTCAACCACATCCGCCCTCCGAAATTAAAAATTTTAATGTCAAAATACAAAATTCGTTTTCCACGAGCTCTCTAATGCACGACTCGTGAACAAAATTAAAACTGCTTCAGTACACAACGACGCTCCGATCGAATTCAAGTCACCGTAAAAAAAAAAAAAAATTCCATCAAAGCACAGCATAAATATAGCCAATTCGTTAACCCCCGTGTGTGTGTACTTAACACCGAAGTGATCAAAAAATAAATCTGCGCTTACAAGTCTTCCCGGGTGAGCGCAAAAAATTTTACACCAGAGCGCGCAGCTTCCACGAGAGCTCGAAAAAAAAAAGAAAGAAAGCGTTCCTCGCTCACAAAAAAAAAAAAAAAAAAAAAAAGAGAAAAATGTCCCCTGCATCCACACCATCTGCAAAGCAAAAGAAAGAAGAGGAAAAAAAGTAGCGAGTTCTTTGAGAGCGCAAAGCGTGCATCATGTACACGTCTACCTGCAGGTATATACAATATATAGGCACCTATGAAAGAGGACGCGTCGCCATATGCGCAATTAATCCGTCTGAATGCACTGCACTTGATATACTCGAATGAACCGCGACGATGAAGACGATTAAACGTCGGACGCACATGTACGTACACGTATACATACTTATCCTGCATGGGTACCTTTTTACCTTATTATATACATTTAGGCGTGAGTGACATTGCGCCACTTGCGTATATACCTATAGTACCTACAATATTGTGCAGCACAAGTATACGCACTGGGTCGTGCAGCTTCCCTGTACTTATGTATATTATAGTGTTGGAGCAAGACAGCTGGTCCCCAATGTTGCCAGCCGGTACGTGCCTATTGTAGTCACGGTTTACACACATGGCCCTACGATACCCTTTGTTCCCTTTTTTTCGAGAAAACATCGCCGCCAACAACGAGGCTGTCAATTATTTTGTATTGTGCGCCATCGCACCTGCGATGGGCATACCTGCTTTGTGTATTTTTCGAACTATAACGTCGATTGGGACTCTTTAGTTTATGGGTCCGTGTAGGTTTCCGCGTTGCCGATCGAGACGGTAAGGGTTTGATCGGTAACTCGTTGAGTTGCCGATCTCCATGGAATCTGTTGTTTTCGTCGGTATGCTTGAGGATGTCTCATATAGTAGTGAAATAGCACGTAAGGTTTTTGTTTGACAGGAATATTCGGTTTATTGAGAATTTCATGATCGAGCGGTCGAATTTGTTGATTAAAGTTGCAATTCATACTTTGACATGACTCTAATGATAATAAAAAAACTTTATTATATTACACATAATATATGTAAGTATATCAGATTGTAAACGCAGCTCGATCGGTAGAGCAAAAACTCGGCGATTGTTTCAAGTGGTTGCAAAGACCGCGAGAGTAGATTTTTATGAAGGTGGACCGTAATGTTTGTTGTAGGAAAAAAAACAATTGTAGTTTATATGTTTTTACCCACAATTTATTTGTTACGATTTACGATTACTGGCCATATAGTACACTTGTAATCGATGTTAAAATTGTATATAACTTGCATTTATTTATGGAAGAAGATTGCAAAAAGTTTTGCATCATTGCATTTGAAATCTGTAGAATTGAATGTGTTCAAAAATGTTTATGTGCTGTAAAACAATTTTCTGCTTATAATTAAAAAACGATTTTTTCATTTGAAAGCGTTAAGATGATATCCTATGTGGAAAACTTCAAGGGAAAAGAAAACATTTTAATTCAAACATATACTTGCAAGTCGTGTATTCAATACTTTGCGGTAAAATATTCACTTTCTCCTGTAATAGGATGAAATCTATTTTTTTCGTTGTAGATCATCCGCATTACATCCCAGAGTGAAATGCTTATTTGTCACTTTGTCGCATAGAACATTGATTTATTACCATTATGAATTAAAAATTCACCTGTTTACTTTATTTTTAATCATGTTTGACGATTTTTTAGATAAAAGAGATACTGTACAACAAACTTGTATTCAAATGGGACCGATAACTTTCTCTCGGAACATATACTCAATTATATACACCATTGATTTGTGAATTTTTTCCTTCAGCTCTCCCAATGGTAAAAGATTTGGAAATTTTTTCCCCTTTTTATGAAACATCTTCGAGTAGGAACCACAATCTTCCAATATATCTGGAAGACGAAGCTTTCAACAAATTTAAATAATAAAGCTCATTTAAATAATAAATCCTTACTATTAAATAGTCGTGGCTAAAAATTAATTTGCTGTCTCCAATATTTTTAAGGTAATTAATTTTAATATGCCAGTGTACCGGTGGATTTTAAGTTATTTATTACGTCCAATTTTATTATCAATCATGAAGTGGTAGGTTGGTATCCGTAAAGTAGTTATTTGTGTTATCGATAATTCAAGTTAACAAAGACAAAGGATAAATCATAAATTTTCTTTTTCGTACATAAAAAAAAAAAGTTGTGCGGGTAAAAAATCAAATAAAAATTCTATAAAACGTCAAGTTTTAATCATCTCGTTGACTGTAAACTGTTATCATAAAGTTTCTCCTATAAAAATACTCAATAACCACAATCTATTACCAAAGTTGTTTGTAATCCTCCAACAAATTTAATTTTTTTCCCATCAGCGCACCGATAGCTGCCATTACCAATCAAGCACAAACTTCTCGGTACTTTGCAAATAACTTTTTTTTTCCCCAACGAAGAAGATGCAACTATTTCTCAGTTGAGGAGTCAGCAATAACGAATAAAACACACAGTCTCGGTTTGTTTTTAACGTTCAGGTCAATCGCTTTATTCATCGGACAAAAAACATTTTCGACAAATCGTTCAAATACCAGCTATACAAGAAGCACTCACCTTAAAAACTAATCTCGCATGTATGAAAGATTAAAAAAAAAAAAAGAAACAAGGGCGATGACATAGTAATTATAAATAACAATAATTTACTACTCGATCCACTAAAGCTAATAATACATCTCGAGCGACGTTACGCGAGGGGTGATTGCTTGCAGGGGAAAAAAAGGGCTGCCTTAATCGGCGAAAAAAAGTTTGCCCCAACTCCTGTATGCCCGCGTTGGACATCAGTCGGCGAGCAAACAGGTCGCCTCGGGTTTTCGACGTGTGTGCACATAAAAAAAAAAAAAAAAAGAAAAAAAAAAAGAAATCTCTGCTTATACGCCAAATCGACGCTTCGTACGCCCATAAAGGTGTTGGCTACAGGGTGAGGTACAGCGTCGATGGCTCAAAGTTCGTAGATAAAAAAAAAAATGAGCAACGCGCGCAATCACCCGATTAATCCTACGACGATGAAAGGAAAGCACGTTCGAGTATTTACAAAATGAGCACATTACGCGTGCGATGATATATGTATACATGTATATTTACAAGAGTTTATCCTCATACGTAACACACACACACGTGCATGTATAACATTGCAAGGACAAAAAAAAAAAAAAAACAAAGATAACAGAGTTACAGCCTCGTGCTTCGGGAAAAAAAGGGAGCGCCCTTCGATCAAACACTCCTTTGCTAATCAAAAAGCGTGTGCCTTGTCGAGCTCGTTCCAAGTACGGTCACACGCGCAGACATCTGGAACCTCTTTTCCGGAGCACGTCATCGGTATGCCGGTCGCGATCTTTCCCCGCTTTCGCGGTATATATATGTAGCACGGAAAAGTTTTCCGATCGATCGTCCCGGCTTTTCCCGCAGTCACGTTTGTGTGTCCGTTATACCTACGCGTACGTGACGCCGATCTCTTTCCACGAATGTAACGCAGAGCAGAAGCCTCTTCTTTCGTGTGCGACTCCTCTTGATTAAAATCGACTCAGTCTTTGCTCGAAGTGAATGAAGGACGGTCCCTTTTGTCAATAGAACCTCTCGCGCACGAGTAGGTTGTTGTTGTTGGGCCGAGCGACGCGGGGGTAGAACCAGGGCCCGTAGTTCCGTCCGTTGGGGCGTTTGCGGGGCGGTAGGATGGCGGTAGAGGGCACTCGGATCTGGGCCTTGTCCGTCCCGGACTCGAGTTCCACGATGGTGGGCAATTGGCTGGCCGAGCGAATGTCCTCGATGTCCTCGTCCTTTGGCAAGGGACGCTGGTCCTCCTTGGGCACCGGCCGGCCGTCGGGGTACACGCGGATCACCATTGGACCCGTCAGATACGGGCCCCGGTGCTCCGTTGGGTGGGCGTAGTCTTTGTTCGACGTGGACTCCTGGGTCAGCTGGTTGTCACCGACTGCTGTAAACAAAATAAAAATTCTCTGTTAGTTTTTTCTATAGTTTTCTTTATCGTTTGCTCGATTGTAATTGTGAGTGATGAAAAAGCGTACACGAGTGATTGCAACACGTTTGCCATACACGTTAAAAGTACTGTTTTATTTTATTAAACGCATCACAGGAATGCTGATAAATGTCTCAAGAAAAACCAAATCGATGCTTCGCCGATTTATTTCACCTAACACCGAAGCTAAAGAAAAAAAAAAAATCTTTTCTTCTTCAGAGATTGACGCGAAAAGGCGCGTACGTTATTTCTGTCACAGATTGAACACGCTTGCCGTATAAGCGCGGTAAATCCGTGACAGCCAGATTTTTCACCCCGTGTGGTCTTTCTACACTGGGTTTTCCCCTTAAAAAGTGGTGAGACATACTTGGTGCACCATACAATGCAACTATAGTTACATGAAAATTTAAGCGTTAGGATTTACAGTAGTGCACGTAGAGGAAGACAAAGAAGAAGATCCAAAAGTCACGCAGGCGTGTAAAACTCTGATGATCGCGGGCGATGTATGTCGCAATGCTCGCGAAACAAATTTCTCGACGAGCACACACAACGACACTCCCCCTCCCCTTTCTGGACTGCGTATACAAAAAAAGTCGATCTTTTTTTTCCCGGGGCGTCCATCCTGAAGCTCCCCCGTACAATGGACGTCCGTCAGGGGTTACGTTGACGCGGTAAGAAAGAGAGGCTTTTGGCGAAAAAAAGACGCCCCTTTTTTCCTCCCACGCGTTTGTTCGCACCCTCGGCGAGGGTATCGCTGTCGCTCCCTTTGACTGCCACTATACATTGCACACGCGGTCCCTAATGATCCTCGTCCGATGCCCCCCTTTTGTGCGTGCCCTCGCACCCTCCTCTTTCATCCTTATTCTCGTGTAATTCACGGGTAAGCGATTATTGTACCTCGTCGAACCAAATGGAACGGACGATTTGACGGCTCTCACATGCGACGGATGTACGTGTCAAGCGCTTGATCGTTACACATCTACTACACGCTCGATTTCTCGTCTTATACACCCCTCGTGTTTTCGTCATTGTATGGTATATGATGGAGGGGGAAAAGAGACCTAACAGCGTAAAAGGAATATCAAGATACGGTGACAAAAAAAAATTAAGAGTCGCGTGTGCTCGAAAAAAGAACGAGTCGCGCTCGGCTTAGGAAGAGGAGGAGCGCCCTATAACTGCCCCATCTAAACGAGCGAAGAATCATGGTACGACAAAAGGGTCACATTGTACACACGCTTGCGCTGCTTTGCGCTTTGTTATGTATACATACATGTATATTAGGGTAAGGGAGGAAAAATAAAAGAGACGAGGGCAGCTTCGTGCTTTCGCAGCACCTCCTGTGTGTGTATATATACACGTGAAAACGCGCGACTGGGATTCAGCCGTGTAAGATACACGTGGAGGTATATATATGAGTGAGCCGAGAGAAAATGTGAAAGCTGAGCGAGCAGAGGCCCATTCTTCGTTCCCCCGAAGAGCTGCCGTAGTCATCGTAGTCGTCGAGGCAAAGAAAACAGAAAAAGTGACCTCGATCCCGCGAGTAGTAGGAGCGAGAGCGCGGAAATAGCGTTCGATATGGGCTTCTCTCTCTCTCTCTCTCTCTCTTTGTGCCATTGACGTCGTCATCGGAGGAAAAGCTGCAGTGCCAGCGGGAACGCCAGAGAAACGCCGTATACGCTCTCGAGCCCCTCCCCTTGGGTTACGTGTGTATATAGACCTGCACTCGAGAGTTTCTTTTTATTTTCTCTCCTCCTCTTTCCGGATGTGTGGGTGCGCTTCTTTCTTATTTTCTCCATATGGTCCTCCTCCCTCCTTCCTTCGTATACGTGTCCTTTGCGAGGTGCGCTGCGGATTTTGTCTCTTGGGCGCGATTACTTTTACGTCGAGTCGATCGAGTGTTTCTGCGCGCGTGTATATATATATATATCTATGTACGTACAAAAGGACAGAGATTGCGATCGCGAGTCTCGGGAAATGGGAGTGTATATATGTATACGTGTATACGCTGGAACGCCGATTTTCTTTGGTAACCGGAAACCGAATGCGTGATGTGTGTGTGCGAGTCTCGAGAGGTGTCTCCGCGGAGGGTTCGGAAAAGTCGCGCCCTTCTGTTTGCCCCCGTTTGTGATTTCGGGTTGAAAGATAAAGGCGACGGGAGTAACAGATTTTTCATCGGCAAATTGGGTTTCGGAAACAAGGGCTAATCAAAAATAAAGCGGAATTTCCTTTTTTTCACGCGGAAGATGCGAATTGTGGAATTTTTCAGAGATCTTTCAGATTTATCTTCGTTTCGTCGTCCTGTCTACCGGAGCCACGGTGGCTGATGAATTTCCGCGAGATCGCCGGCTGAGATAGCGCAGATTGAGTCTCGCCTACGAGACAAAGGGGGAAAAGAACAAACATGCCGAAAATAAACGAAGATCTGATGAAAAATTATACCGAGTCACTTTTATTTTTCTCCCGGACAATCGAGACCTACACGCATCGAAGCCTCCGATCGCTCGATATGAAACCACTCGCGCACATACAGCTCCCGCAAATTGGCGAAAACGGCTCGTCTCGTGAAATTAGAAAGCTCCCGCTCTCTCTCTCTCTCTCTCCCCTGGAAAATAAGAAAACTCTCTCGCCGCACGTATATACCCACGCACGCGTGATCCGATCCGATCGATAAGCTCCCGCGTTGTGCTCGTACACGCGAAAATTTCACCTGCAGCGGTATCAAGGGGGGGGGGTGTATAATAGCAGCTCTCCGGAGCTAACGAGGAGATATACGTGCCAGGCAATCACGGAATGTACGAAGCAGGCAAATGAGCACACACACGCGCGTGTATGTGTGTGTGTACAGTGACAGACAAACAAACAAAGTGCACTTACCCAGTGGATCGTCCTCGGTGGTGTGGAAGGAGTGCTGACCGAGGCGCGAGGCCTCGTGCTGTCTGCCGCTACTGTTGCCGACGATGCTGCGCCAGACTGCGGGTAACAAAAGAAAAAGGCGTGGGGTGAAAAATCCGCGTTCAATTAAGGCGTTTCACGCTCGGCCGAGGCCCTTTCCCCTTTAACTTTAATCTTCCGTATTTTCTCCCTCCTCCTCGTCTTTCTCGATTGAATTTTCCGCTCTATATTACCTCTCTTTTCATTCCCCGACTTTTCACAGGCGCATATATATTACATCATCCACTACCGGCTGATGCGGTGAAATGGTTTTTAAAAGTATGTTTTACCACGAGTGAAAAAAAAAAAAAAAAAAAATTCCATGCGCTAGTGTAATTGCCGGTCAACCGAAATCGGCGATGTTTACTTTCGGCGAATGATCAATCCAAACGACATCCGAGCTCGTAATTGATTTCCGAGAAAACGGGGCGCATTAATTGCCACCGAGAAGAAAAAAAAAACCGGCATCCACGTGGGAGAGAAATCACCGTGTAATTACGTTAATAACGCCACTTGTATCCCCCCCCTGGAGGGGCAGGGACGAAGAGAGAGAGAGAGAGAGGAGCGCGTCATGAAAGAGAAAACTCATATCTGCCAGCGAGAAAAACAATAATACGGTGTACACTTACTGATGTCCTTAGCGCCGCGCTGGTAGGGGTCCATCCCGTCGAGATCATCGTCGTCGAGGTGGGCGAGGTTCTTCAAGCCGGTGATCAAGAGGTTCTTGTTGCAGTCGGGCATCGGCGATTCCGAGCAAAACTCGGACACCTCTTGGTTGAAGATCCGGTACAAGTGGCTCATCTGCAATCACAGGGGGAACATAAAATTGTTACGGCCCATCAGGAATATCCCGAAATGAGTATGGACTCTGCGGAGGGGATAATTGCCGGCACGGGGAATCCCCCGGCGTACAACTGCAGTGCGAACGATCTATGGTTCGAGGCATTTATGTTTTGTCTTTTACGTTATTACAATCAGCGCGCGGCGAGAGGAATTTACGCAGGAATTTATCGGCCCGACACTTTGGTACACGTCACGTGGTGGGGGTAATTGACGAGACGCGTTTGTTGCGGTGCAAATGTAAAGCGGCCGATTGGAAATCAATACTTGCCCCCCCCCTTGCGAGGGACACCACCGGTGGTTGTGTAATCCTCTTGCGTGCACGGCTGCGGATAAGAGCTTGCGAAAAACGGAGGTCCAAGAGAATAAAAGATACACACGCGAGCCGAATAATTTTGCAACGGGGAGGAGGTGGGGGGGGGCGTCGAGAATCGATGACGAAAACAATCGGGGAGGGAGCAAAGAACGAAAAGTTGACTTGAGGAACAAACTGAAGTTACCGATGGGGTGGCTAACTAACCGCGAAAAGGCGGCCCTTAACTGGGTTAGCCGAACGAGCGGCGGAACTTTCGGGAACTCCTCTACTCACGGGCAATCGATGTGTAGATGCTTTTTGTCAACTCGCACGCGCTCGATGTTCGTCACGTACAGCCACTGCGCAAAAACAACGTTGCTCGATACTTTTCGCAAATGGCCAATTTTTACAAAAAAAAAAAAAAAAAAAAAAAAAAAAAAAAAAAAAAAAAAAATAAGCGAACCGCAAGAAAAACACTTACATAAATATACACAGTGCAATGAAAACACTACTTAGTTTGGCTTAACGACGTGGGTCACTATCAGTTAGCTGAAAGTGTTCGCTATTTGGCTTTCTCGGCTCTGAGCGCTCATAAGCGATCTCTCGGCAAAGAAGGAAAACTTTCCCTTTTTTTTCTTTCTTTCGAGCTCTCGCAACTTTTTTTTTCCCTCCGAAACAAAGAACGCGTCTCTTTGAGAGGACGCGCGCGCTCGCTCGAGTGGGAAAAAAGTCCGTATACCTACGCTCGAAAAAGAGACAAATAATCCGTGTAGTGAGCGTTGTAGCGCGCGCGACCCAAATACATATCGCAGAGGGCGGGGGTGATGTGGCCCGGTTTTACGCGCGTGCATATATATACACACACATTTGAGATCGGGAACGCCGATAATTGCGTGTACGCGAAATCGGGATTGACGAGTGCCGAGAGAAAGCTATCGGGCGACGAACGCCGGATGGGACGTAATTAGCGCGGAAAGCCGCCGCGTCGCTCTTTGTTGCGCGCGTCGATCTACATATATACACACAGATAAATCCATATGCCGATTTTTTTTTTCTCTCCTTTTTCCCCCTCGTATACATCCGCGAAAATTAAAAGTTTTAATTGACTCTGAGAAAAAGGCCTCCCCGCGCATTGTCGCGCTCGATTGAAGCGCGCTGGAGCAGAAGCGATGGGCCCATTGTTTGCCGTACACACACCGCGCCCCGGGAAAAGTTGGCCGAGCCGCGGTCCGGTCGGCCGGATGAACGGAGTGGGAGAAAAAAACCCGCGCTCTTGAACTTCGCCTGGTGTCCATCGGCCTTAAGATGAAAGTTGCGATTATACCGATCTTCGGCAAACGTCCCCTCGGATCGGACCGGATATCGGTATGGCTCGCGTCGGCGTTACCACAACCAATAATCGCACTGTGCACTGTACGGGAAACAATACCGCGTATATATAGCGAAGGGGGGTGTAAGGTCCTCACCTTTTCCTCCCTTGTGAGGAACTCCCACATGGGAATGGCAGAGCTGCGAGCGCGCGCTACGAAGCACGCGACCACCACGGCCGCGAGCAGCAATATTAAGCTTCTGGCTTCCATCGTCTTGGCTTGGTTGTTCCTCACTGGTCACTGAGCGTTATACGCGGGGTACGGTGATGCACAAATGTAGCACTAGTGACGGGGCTCGGAAGGTCGGTGCAATGATGTAAGATAAAACGCGCAATTGGGTATAATCGTGCGCGATCTCTCGCAATCGGTTCTCGAAAGTCAACTGAGCGCCGGTCGGCGAGTCGTTGGTTTTATGCGCTCGGCCGAAGAAGAGTCTCGAGCGAGAGAGAGAGAGATCCCCACCGGGACGATCGGCCTTTCCCTCATGCTCGGCGCGTATAGCTCATCACAACAACCGGCCTCCTCCTCCTTTTGCGTTGACGTTGTCTTTTTGTTTGTACGCGCCTCGGATTTTTTTGCCGATCGGAGGCGCCGGGACTCTCTCGCGCGTCAAACCTCCGGGAAACGTGCGGGGCCCGTTTTGGTTTTTCCCGTGGTTTACGATCGCGAATAATTTTTTTTTTTTTTTTTTTTTTTTTTTTGTTACGCAATGCGGAGATGATCCGATGGATGTACGTGCGATTGTGTTGCTCATGCGGTTCGTACGCAATTGCAATTACCGAAGCGTCGCGGCTCGCTTTAGTACGAGAGTTGAATGTTCCACGTGCGCGTGAACGCGCGTTAAATGTCACGATAAAAAAGTCAATGTACAATGGAAAAGTTTACACATCACAGGGTATATGTGTCAAGAATAATCGTTTGCAAATTTTTTGGGGACATTCATTTATAAATTTGTAGTAAAATAAGAAAGTTACGTATGAAAAAAAGAAATAATAATACAATACATAAATTAAAATAGGAAGGGAAAAAAAAATTGTCATTCGCGCTACTGAATTACTCTACTGGTGTGCATTTAAATGGGATATGAACAGATTTCATTCATTTAACACAGTAGAACAATATTGATTGTTGAGGGAAAACGTGTGACATCTTAATAGCCTTAAACGCATTCAAAAAACTGTGTACATCATTTATTCCACAAAATAATTACACATCAAAGATTCTCCTGTTTGAGGTGAGATGATGTACTTATAGCCCTTGTTGTATACCAACAACGTACCGAGCACTCAGTCATTCTGTAGCAGTTGAATGCTCAATGACATGATCGAGCAATTGTCTCAACGAGAGGGAATAGCAGCGCAGAAATCTTAACTCGACTACATCTCCGCGTAAGTAATGCAAAACGTAGCAAAGTAAAAAATTTGTAGGACATCCAGAGCCAAGGTTGGCTTGAACATTTCTGTAATACATCGGTAAAGCAACAAGATTTTGAGGATCGAGCTCTGTGGGACACCCAAAGATGAGAGTCCGTTTTATCGGTTAAGTTCACTGTACCCCGTCCTTCATACGAGAGTGTATACCTACAGTATGTAGTGGATGTAAATGTGGCGATGAAAGTAATGCCAACAGCCATATCTTTTCTTTTAACTCATGAAATCTTTACTAAAGACCAATAAACAGACGTGGTCCGGGCAACAGTGGAAAATTTGCCCTGACAATGACTACTCAATACAAGCTTGCAATAACAAAAGTGGGTATTCTTATTCAAAAAAAAATTTTTTTTTAATTGAATGAAACAAAGCAAATACGAAAACAATTATTTACAACAAAGAGTGAACTAATGACTAAAAATAATACTGCAGGTCAATGGTCATAGTACATGGCCAGTTGCTGCGGATGTATAGCTCCTAGGATCCTCGTGTGGACGTGACGTGGGAATTCGATGACGATGACTGGATGTGCGGAATCATTAGTTTGATTCTTTCGACATTAATGTTTCCACGCGTGTTATTTATAGGGTTTTTCGCTCGGACCGTGTACACAGTGAGTCAAGGTTATTTTTACGGATTTTCGCACGTCGAGGGGAAAAAAAAAAAGAAAAAAAAAACAAAGAAGAATTTCTCGCGATAAAAGCCGGGTATTGGTGGTGCTTGCGTTATTGCCCATCAGGTGAGGAATTCATAATGGATATTTATCATGTAGCGGCGTGTCGACGCTAACACCGGCCGTACGTGTGTGTGTAATGAATGCGCGTGTCCGTGAGAGGCGCCAGCGCGCGACCGTATAAGTCGTTTCTGTTTCATTGTCCCCGAGCCGTGGCTTCGCGCGTTTCAGGAAAACTCCTCTTTTTCTACCGGCCCACAGAGCGAGGAATGTCGCTGGATTTTATTGTTGTGCCTACTTTTTTTTCTTCTTCCTTCGATCTTACGCGGTGTGGGTCCTTTTTTTCAAATATATTTGCGGTCTACGGTAGATTACACCGAAATGAGGATAGGAAAATTTCGTTTCTACGAGTGACCTTATACGTATACAGATGGCATATTAGTTTGTGAAACGCGGAAATTCGAGATGGTCCATACGTTCGTTCATTCTCCTCGTCTGTGCTTTTTAAACTATGTACCGGGGATTGTATACGTATATTCTATTTATTGTTCAAATGTATCGAGTGACGTGTACAAACACGCAACGAGAGCAAGTGTCATATATTTAGACTTTCAAGTTCAAGTTGAGGAGAACTAAAAGTGTGTCGAAGCTTACGCGATTGACCTGCAATGTTTTCCTCCAGAGCTGAAGGCGAGACTGCGAAGCTTTTAACTTTGTGTAGTACGGGAGACCGGACTAACGTTTAATCTGATGTTTTCATGTTTTGATCGCGTCGTTCGTCGTGCATTTTTTTTTTATCTTTGGAAAGTTTCGATGACAAGTTAAAAATTATCTCAGAGGAGCATGCAATTTTTTTATTGTATTAAATTGAAAAAAGAGATGGACGTAATATCGTGTACGTTTTGGACTTTAGTCAATTGAATGCAATTGATGAAATTACAAATAACACAATCAAATAGAATGATGTATACAAAATTCCAAAAAATTTTCAGCAAAAATTAAAATGGAATAAGTTCATAACATAAATGTGATCAAAAGTAATGCTATATTCAATTTGTTTTTACTCTGAAAAACACATTTAGACAAAAAAATTTATTTCATTTAGATGAAATAAAATTAGGCGTAATGTTTGAATGTCCCTTAAAAAATGCACAAATTCGCACACATTTTTATTAGGAAAAACATTTTAAAATCATTGTTGATTTATTTATACCATGGCGTTCGATTTAAAAGTTGTCTTAAAGCAAAATATGAGTGGCAATACAAACATTGCATCTGTAATATTTAGTAAAAGAGCGATTGCAAAGACCAAAAAATGAGTATAAATTTAACTAAAATTGTGATCTCTTTTTGGAATGTGGTACGTACAGTCGCAGTGGTGCAGATCACGTGAAACGCGTTTAACATGAGTAGCAAATTTAAAATTCAAAAAAATTTGTTAATAAAGTACCATAAAAACAGAAGAATTTTCTAAAGAACACATTCATATACATCTGACTATATTAAGGAGCTCAAAGCTTTTCAAAGTTACGGTAGCCACGTACCGCTTTGACACAAATATTCTCTCCAAAAGGTTGAAAAATTAATACAAAAGTTTTTAATTGTATTTTAAAAATACATTTCTAACGAAACACTACTGTCGTGTCTCTTAATTTCAAATTGTTGTACTTTCATCACATGTTTAATTTAAGACTTTTCTTATTGAAAAAAAAAAAAAAAAAAAAAATTACTTTGTACTTGTAATCGTACTTTTAGTTGAATTACAAAACAATGCGATCTTGTAAAGGTCAATGAAATGCAAAAAACGTGTAAGCGTAAAGACGGAATTCCCAAATCCAGGCGTTCAAGCAAAAGGAAAATTTTTCACTGCGTCGCCGTCGCACAATAGAGTCATCCTCCAATCGGACACCGCAACGACTCCCACCTACAAGCTACGCGTGCATTATAATGTGAGCAACGCGATGCGTCGGTCATAAAAACAAGTATCACCCAAACAGATCAACAAAAAACACCACCGAGCGCGCAAAAGACGATGATTTCACGCCAACCCGGCACCAGAGAGCCGTACCATCGTGCTGCTGACACATTTATTTACAAAAACCATTGACGCCATCGCGACGCCTCTCGACTAGACGCATACGCGCGCTCCTAGCCGATAAAATAACATTTCGGCATTCCTCGAGGCCTGCATTCGCGAGAAGTTACCCATAAACCAAGATTATCTCCACCGCGTGTCTCGCGGGTCAAAAACACTACAGGCGCGATTTTTTTTCGGCCTACACGACTCTTGCGGCCGACAATAGCGTTTTTTCATCACCTATGGAATCGTGAAAAAAAAAAAAGCGAAAAACACACCTGAAAACATGAGACAATAAAAGAAAAGCAATTTTTTGTCATACCGCCAGACCGATCCTAAGGATAGCCGTGATGCCGATTCCGAGCAGCACCGGCGCAGCGTCCGATTAGGAGATCTCCCGCTACTGACTCGCCACAAGAGCCCACGGCGATGCGTCCTTTGGAAGGACGATGAGATCGCTATACGTACCTACACCCACGCGGCTCTATGCAGATATAAAAAGATAAACAGGCCGAGGTCGCCGACAAATGGAAAAATAAACAAGTGCACGTGGTGAAGTTGACGAGGTCAATCCAGATGGTCACCGATCGGACGAAGACGATCTTGGCAAGCGTTCATTGTTCAGCTGCACCAGACATATTTGACGTTTTCGTTGAGTTACGATATTGTTTCGTTACCACGTCCGTGTCGCAAGAAATGCAAAGCAAACGGACCCTGCAGAGTGATCGGATTATTTTTTGGCGTCCTTCCATGGACCCAACCGAGCTGACCCTGCGGCGGTCGTGCGGTTGACATCCCTGTCCCGTGTATACGTTAACTGCACTAGAAACAATGTGTTTTGTTTCATAAATTTCCCTTCCGATGCACGTGTTTTAGCGTCACGCGAGCAAACAGATCACGTTTTGGTCGACTGCTCGTTTCAGATGGGAGCTCTCTTGATTTGCGCAGAAAAACATTGCGATGTACATGCAAACGTGGTTCCTCGAGATTAGCACGAATAAACGATGTTTATCGAGGAGCAGCTCATTTTTTTCCACATCAAAGATATCGTGTTCCACCTGCGGTAGTGGAATTAAATAAATTTTGCCACCCAATGGTAAAAGGGGGGGGGGACCAACATTGTTTTAATTGACGAAACTGTTGATCGTCGCTTTGAGCTTACCGACGTACCTGCGGGTTGGCATAACTGGATCTTATAATCGGGACGACCGAGACCGAGTTCGCGTTCCCAGTTTCTATGATGCACCGATAACTGTGCCAATGTCGAGAAGGAGCAAAATAATCGAA